TCTGCACCATCCCATGTTCCGACCCTCCTCTGAAGTAGAGTCCAGAATCAATTAGGAAATTAGGCTTGAGTTGAGAGTGAATCTGAGAGTCTTAATTTGCTTTGGTGTGCAAGAGGGCGTAGCCAGATATGATGAGACAGCTAGTCCCAGTGAAAGCAGTTTGAAAACATGTTTAAAATTCACCAGCAGAAAACAAGTGACTGCAGGGAAAGTGCATGTTGGATAAAATGCAGCCATTGGTTTTCATATTAGTTTTGCTGGAAATGGCCCATGCTCATATCCGGGTACTCCATTTCACTGGCTGAAGTAATTAAGAACTTGTTTCTGAGGGTGGGTGGGTGTGGAACGGGAGAGAAGATTGTATGCATGGCAGAAGCTGCAGACTTGAATGCATCTATTTACATATTGATTGCCAAATCTTTTGTTACATGTTAATATGGGTAGGTCTGAAGTACACACACACACATAAACACACACACACACACACACACACACACACACACACACAATTATTCACCTCTAACCTTTAAAAATATGCTTTGTGTCCACAACTGTGTTTTGAGCCCAGGCACTGCAGGATTTTAAAATCTTCATTTGTCAGAATAACAGCATGTTTCACCCACCTTGTGATAAAGCTCTACCTCAGTCGCTCATCTTACAGATCAAACCAGTTTGCCATATCACCACAAATCTTTTAAAGGATTTCTGCAAATCGTGAAGACAATGTCTTGGTACCTGTGGGGAGCTGTTCTACGTGAACTGCTTGTTAAACAGAGGCAGCCACTACGGCATGGGCAGCTGTTGTGATGCCCTCCAGATGTTGCTGAACCATCATTCCTGACCATTGGCCATGATTGCTGGGGCTGATGGGAGGGGAAATTTGTGCTGGAGGATTTCAGTCGTCTAATTCTTTAGTTTGAACTGTATGCTGTTTGAAGAAGTCCATAAGAGGGCCCAAACAGACCTATAAATACTTAGAAAAATATTTGAGCTTTCAAAATCAGACTTTCTTCTAAAGAATAAATAATTACATTTGGTTATCTTCGTTTTCGAAGAATGTTTTTGACCACTGTCCTAAATCTGAACTATAAATTCTCAACTCCTTTCAGACACAGATAAATGTGAAAACTATTTTCTTTTTACAAAAAACACATTTCCATATCAAAACCATGTATGCTCACTTCCAGAGTAGATTAAATGTTTGCTGCTAATATATAATCCTATGATAACTATGTTTGTGACCCAGATGTAGATGATTGCTGAAACAACATCTGCCTCTCAAGGGAACCAGCTTATTTTTTTTTTTTTTTGTTACTTTCATTTTTTAGGAAAGTGGAAAAGGTTGGCAGCAGTGCTTAGAATATGTGAAAGGGGAATAAGTACTAAACATCTCTGGCAGCAAAGTCTGTATATCTACATATTTTGAAAGTTAGGAATGTTTTGAAAACTGATGAACAAGATAATGGGAGATCAACAGTAGCTGAAGCCAGAGTCAGTGATGGGCAGGCAATGGCAGGCAGAGCCAACTAATTCTAGTTTCCCCCTATCCTCCTCCCTACAAGAGCAACATTGGGACCAAGGAAGAGGAAGCTGACAGCACTGGCACACCCTAGACTGGTTGTATGTAAGAATGTAGACAGGGAGGAGCTGGCTGGGGACAGACTGAGGTTGGTGAGACATTTGCCCTAATCGACCAGCCTCCACTGATTGTGTGCATGTGAAATGTAGACTTCATGAAGGGCACTGGAATAGTTCCATGAAGGAAATAACCAAAGCTAGGCTTGTGCTTGCCATTATTCATAGCATACTAAGAATGTAATGCTTGGGTAGGTGCTGCCACACAAAATGCCCAGTCTTCTTGACATTGTGCAGAATGGTCTACCTCTTCTGCAGAATGTTATGATCATTTCGGTATGTTGTGAGATGAGTCAATCTTTTAGGTATCCTGGTCCCAAGCTGTGTAGGGCTTTCTACACCAATACCAACACCTCGAGCCAGGCCTGGAGATCTGTTGGAATATGCTAGCTCTGGATTTCTTGCATGGAGCAAGGAGTTGGATTACATGACATACAAGACTTTGTTGAACTCTGTTCATGCACGGCGCGATTTGCGCCTCTGCACATGCGCGAGCGGCAAAACCCGGAAGTAACCTGTTCTGGTACTTCCAGGTTGCCGAGGGACGTAACGCGAAAAGACATAACTTGAAGCGGATGCAACACGAGGTATGACTGTATGTACTCTCGTTTGGAAGTTAGCAAGAGAATAAGCCATTTCTCACAGGCTGTGCTATAGGTACAAAAGAAATCATTCATATGTATTTAATTGTGAAATTTATGTTGTGTGTCATGGCTGTGCTGAGGTTTTTAGATGCCTTTTTTTGAGGCACCTCACACACATACATGGCTGTGTAGCTGCAAGAGTCTGCCAGTGATGTCCTATGGATATGTGGTGCTGGGAAGGTCTCTTTCACTAAAACACTTACTTTGTGCTCATTACAAAGAGGTAATTGTGCTCTTCATGGCTCCCCAGCAAGACCAACTATGTTTTGCATCTGGACTGAAGTGATACGCAGATGCCATGGGTAGTGTGTGACCCAGAAGATGGGAAGCACAACCTGCCCAGAACTGAGCAGAGAAGAAATATCAGAGTTGGGAGTACAAATAGGCAGTTGCACAGCTCCAGTTACTACAAGAAGAGATCAAGTAAGACCCCACCTGCCTCTCTATCCCTGTAGAGGGAGGATCTGTTCGGAAAGAAGAAGGAAGGGACCTTTCCTTTTATGATGCATTCACATCCCACCTTTCCTTCAAGGAGCTCAAAGTGGCGTGCATGGCTCTCCCTGTCTCCATATTATTTTGACAACAAACCTGTGAGGTAGGCTAGGCTGTAAATCAATGGCTGGCCCAAGGCTCACCCACTGAGCTTCATAGCCAAATGGACATTTGAACCCTGGTCTTCCAGGGCTTAGTCTTGACACTTTAACCACTATACCACACCACTTAGTCTTTGCTCTTATATAGACTAGACTCAATTTCATCAGATGTTTTCCCAGCTGAGCAAGTGAGCTGGTTGAGTTTGTGTGTTCAGTTTCTCTCTCTGTCTGGCCACTGTTGCCATTAGGTACAGAGGAAGATCCTAGTGAGCATTGCCTGAGCATAGTGCTGTATGGCTAGGAGCTCAAGCACCCAGGAAGTGGCCCTGGGCTGGACTTGCACCCTCTGAAGTGTTGGAGGGCATGGCCAGGTTCCTTTAGAACAGCCACAGTTATGCTGAAGGTTTCTTTTCTTTAAAGCACCACAGGTCTTCAGTGCTATAACGATGTTCTAGGTTATGTTGCTACTGATGAACATCTTTTGATGTTCCAGGTTTAATAATGCAAGCATTTCCTTAATTATTTATGGTCTCTGGTTTGTTCCATGCTAAGCTATATAACGATGTGTTGCCGCTTGACATTTTTGAAGTTGGCAGCACACAAAAGGATTAGCATATGATGATAAGTGCCTGGTTAATTCTGCATCTTTTAGGGAGCTTCTTTTTAGGCCAAGCATTCTTGAGACTGGTGCTGTTGCTTTGTATGTAGAAGAGAAGGGAAACTGCATAGGATGAATGTGCATCCATAATACTAGCATGCCTTCTGCAAGCCTCCTTCAGATATGCATCATTTCTCGGACACAGGAACTACTCACCCAGTGCCTCCATCTTGCCAGGATTCAATACATCTAAAAATGCATTTTTAGAGATCTATCTATAGATGTGGTTAGGCCTTTCACTGTGATACTGTTTCACCATGTAAATGATGTACTCATGCAAAATTTCTCTTTCCCCCTATTCTATTGCAGTAGCTTGTAATGATTAATAGCATGGTTTGTCTGCTTTTTTATTTATATGCTCAATGTAGTGACATATGGTAGTTCTTGGATTAAAAGATCTCTCTGTCTCTGGTACTAGCAAGAGAGGATTATTATGATTAATGCATTGAACCATTCAGCATATAGGAAGGGCCTTCTGGTGATTGTTTTTTTCAAATATGGCTAAGAATATGCATTTGTAATTGGTTGAGTGTTTAATGGGTAGCGAGGCTAGAAGTGTTGTGCTCCAGATTGCTGTTTTATCCCACCATCATCTGCATTTGCAAATGTTACTTATCAGAGAAAATATAGAGCTGCCTCAGTGAAATGGCATTTGGTATGTGAAGCATAACGGAGTTGGTGAATTTTGCAATATGAAGTGTTGGGCCTCCATCGTATTCTGTCAGCATGGCCCTTACTCAGCTACTGCAAATGAAACAGCATTTTATTTATATATCTGACCATCTTCCATTGCTAGGCAAATGGACATTGGGGAAGGATATCACTTTCAAACACAGGAAGATGAAGTAACTAAAATATCAACTTAGGAGCTCAATTGTAATCATATTTGAACCATTTTATAACTCAAAAAGATTTGACATCTCATTCCATTTTTTAAAAATTGTGATTTTATGAGTTATGGATCATCATGTTGTTTAAGCTTGTGCCTTAGAGAAAATAAATAATAGAAGTGTGTCCCAGTTTTGAGGTGACTTGCAGGATCATAGAATCACAGAGCTGGAAGGCTCCCTGAGGATCATCTAGTCCAACCCCATGCAGTACAGGAATATGCAGCTATCCCATATTGGGATTATGGGACGTGCGTGGCGCTGTGGGTTAAACCACAGAGCCTAGGACTTGCCGATCAGGTCAGTGGTTCGAATCCCCGCCATGGGGTGAGCTCCTGTTGCTCGGTCCCTGCTCCTGCCAACCTAGCAGTTCGAAAGCACGTCAAAGTGCAAGTAGATAAATAGGTACTGCTCTGGCGGGAAGGTAAACGGCGTTTCCGTGCGCTGCTCTGGTTTGCCAGAAGTGGCTTAGTCATGCTGGCCACATGACCTGGAAGCTGTACGCCGGCTCCCTCGGGCAATAAAGTGAGATGAGTGCCACAACCCCAGAGTCGGCCACAACTGGACCTAATGGTCAGGGGTCCCTTTACCATATGGGGATTGAACCTGCAACCTTGGTGTTATCAGCACCACGCTGTGACCAACTCAGCTATGTTCCTTTGTATGTTGAAATGTACATGTGTGAAGTTCCTGAGAATGTGAACTGTGGGTTGAAAGGCTGCAAAAAATGACCTGTGCTTCAAAGCTCAACTCATTCCCAAACTAATATGCATAGCCCCTAATTGGTATTCCCTCAGCTCTTCCTCCCTGCACCTGCAATATCATCCTCATGCAAAGGTCAATATCATTATCTTACATAGCTGTTGTAAGGTTTGCTGTGACATCTTGTATGCAAAGAGCTTTGGGCATTTGTATTCCACTATGCAAAGTGTTATTATTTTACCAGCTATCAGCGGTAGTGCTATATATGTCCTACTCTTGGATATATTTAGCTGTGTATATTTAGCAGTGTAGATTCTAGTGTTAAGTGCCAAAGCAAAATAAACAAAATCATCTTCCACACTTTCTCATTTCTGTAACTTGTTCATGTATTTCTAGCTTCTATACCCATAATTTCAATAGGTGCTTTTGTTAAGAGACAGCTCATCAAATCATGTGAATTGTGTGTAAGGGGGGAGGGATCACATTTTCTTTCCTTTAAAAATAACAAATCCTGTTAGGGCTTCTATGAATCCCATGGCTTTGGATGGCTACACAGTGCTTAAATGGATTTATAGCTGCTCTTGATGTCAAAAACTAAGAGATGCTCTGCACCTGCTGTGCTTAAGCCACGTCCTTCTCAATATTTTGACTTTTCTCTTTACTCTGTGTTGTGCAAAATCCACATGGATAGCCATCAGGTTCAGAATGAATTTAAGACAAAGAAATGCCAGTGTTCAAATAAGATGAATATACTGATACTAAAACACACCCTACTAAGAGCACAACCGCAATGAACAAGTCCAGTGAAAAACATTTCAGGATAGTTAAGAAGCCACACTTCTCCATCAGTTGTGTGAGAGGCTTTATGTCCTAATATATGGAGTATTTTAGCCATATTAACCCGTATGCTCAGTTTACACATTCAATTCATAGTTTGCCAGTAATAGCCAGAAAAGAAGATAGTGCTCAGCTGGTCCAAAGCTCTTTGCTGGAGCATCAGTCAATGCACTAGAAGTGTGCTGCTCAGCCTTTCAGTGTAGATGGATATGCTCAGAGGATGATGGAAAGGGGGCATTGGCTTTTAAGATAATTCTACTCAGTGTTATTTAGCAACTGAAAAATACTAATCCATAATTTTCCCCTGGAGATGAATTTGAAGAAACAGCTGCAAATGAGTTCTGGAATTGAAAAGGATATTTCAAGGATAACCCAGCAACAGTAAGGTCACTCAGTGAAACAGAAACAAAAGGACCGATCAAGGGTTGGTCTTAAGATGCTGATCTAAAACTGGAATAGAGATCACCATAGCTACTAGCCACAATGTCTATGTTCTACCTTCAGTTGTAATCACAGGTGGGAAGAATATTGCTGCACTTAGGTCCTACTTGCCCATTTCCCACAGGCATCTGACAGCCCACTGCAAGAAACAGGATGTTGGACCACTTGGGACATTGGCTTGAACTGACAGTTTTTCTTATGTACCTTAACTCCCCAATGAGGGTAACACTAGGGCAGACTGAGATCAAGTTTCTCGTGGCACTATAAGCCAATTAGCCTCTAATATGCCCAGCACTTTTCCATCAATGCCCTTTTGACTTCTTTGAATAATTCTAGATTCAAGAAGGTGAAAGCAACCTCTAACTCTTTTCCATTGCTTGTGTTTTTAATTATATAATACTGATGTACAGGCCAGATTACTGTAACAATCAGCTTTTGTTTTCAGTTTCTTAGCTGCTATGTGATATGATAGATCTGAGAGACAGACCCAAATAACAATGGCATTAACGAGACCATGGGAGTTTTCCACCCTTCCATAAGGACTTTGAAATTTAAGTCTCTAAATAATACACATGGTTTGATTGCTTTGCCCCGCCTCAATCTGGCAAAAGATGAAAATATTTGCTTTCTGAGTAATTTGCCCTTAATAACTTTGAAGCAGTGTAACAAACAGCACTAGCATTGTTAGAAGTTCACTGGCAGAAAGATTGCCCCTTTCTTTGTCTTAGATATCTATGTAGATCACAACCATCTGCAAGTAGTTTTTGAAAGGAATGTGTGTTGATCAGTATTTGGCACCCTTTTAACTTAGTCCGTGGACTTTGTTTCCTGCTTGCCTATCCATTTATATGCTCTTAAAAGTATGCCATGCATTTTGTCAGTGTTCTTCATCCAGTGGAATTCTTCAAATAACATTTATTGCCAGGCAGAGATCTAGTGTGTAGGACATGTCTCTTTTAATATAATTAATCTGAAAACTGGAAGAATATCAAGTATCGAAACCTGTTGTTTCTATGGAACTCTCCTACCACTTTGGTGCTCCCTTCTGTCCACCTCCCAGCTTTGAGTCTAAAGTAAATGGAATTTGGGGAGTTGCAACTGCACATTGGATTTTAAATTTCACAGTATTGAAAGCTACCATAAATTTTTAGAAACCTTATTCATTAGACATGGAATGTGAGAGGGCAGATACGTGTGAACAGGAAACAACACTGAGGAGGTTAACCTTTTATATTTATAGAGCATGCTTCAAGTCTCTTGGTTTGCCAACTGCTGTCTTTTATGACATTAAAAACATAGGACAGCGTTAAATAAAACAAACAAAATAGGCAGAGTTGATCCGTACACACAGTGAACTCTGCCACAAAGCTAGGCTTGAATTTTGCTGAACAGGAGGCAGCTCTGTTCTGTATTTGATGGAATGTCATGGGGATATTGTGCTAAGAGTTTGATATTTCCCTTTTCATATGAAGTTGCATACATAAATTTTGATGTCACAGATGTTTTTAAAAACGAGAGGCAGCTATCTGCAACTATGGGAGTTTCTAAACAAGTCTGTTCATTTTTACAGCTTCCTCTGTTAGTCAAGCACTCTGAGACTTTTTTTACAGCAGAAGGAAAGTGTGGTGCAGTGACAACTCTTCCAACTCTCACCCGCCCATAGCAAAGAAATTTGTCGGGAGGGAATCCCACTGCCCCAGTCACACTGCTTCCACCAGGCCTGTGCATTGTTGGTGCATCTGTCTGATTTGTTTTGTTGCCTGTGACCTTCTGTGAGTACTTCAAAGTTGCTTCACCCGCCTCTCAACAAATGCCCCATCATGTTCTCCTGATCATATTAAGAAATCCTAAAACAGGTATTAGACAGGGTTAGGGTGGAATTGCTTCAGATGTCCATAACCTGTCACATCAGTATTGAATATGGCATGCCTGGCATCTTATCAGGCAAGGAAATAGTAAGAAGTTGGGTTTTTTCAAACCTTGGAGTCTTCAGACTATCAGTATTATGAGAGGACTTGAAGTGTATATCAGGATGTTAGACCAGCATATTTAAAGTGGATTAAAGCAGTCTGTTGCTTTGGTGCTAAAAATCCATCTTTTTACAGTTTGGAAAAGGAAATACACTGAAAATGTGGGATGAATGAATTATGAATGGATTAACATGTAGACACCTAACAAATGAATCAGGATGACCATTAATTGTCATATAACCACCCTGTAGATTTCAGAATGAATACACATTAAGGCTGGACATAGTCTAACCAACACATAAGCTTTGTACAAGCAAATCAGGATTAAAGCTGAACAGATAGTCTGGAGGAATCCCATGAGCTTGTTGAATTTGTCTGAGGATTACTATTAATATATCTACATTTTGAGACCTATTGGAGATCTCAATACATAAAATCTGTTAAACTTCATATCTCAAAGATTCGTTTGACACACAATTTGAATTTTATTACAATATCTAGGTATGTAATTGACACTTCCCTCCATAAATTGGCAGTAAATATAAATAATAAAATATTGCAGTAACCAAAAGGCTGGACAACTTGGGAAAAAGAGAAACACAGAGCCATTCTAAATTAACTTGACATAATTAACACGAGCATGAATTCCCCGTAGGTCAATAAACCTAAAGGGTGAAAAACACAGTTATCCGATTATAAATCCTGGCAGCAGTGAAGGGTAACAAATCAATAGGGCAATAAAGATGTTGGATCATTGACAACTGGTTACTGAATATCGTTTGTTTCTTTAAAAAAAAATTGATAAAGAAGAAACAATTTTGTACAAAATCAGTAAGTACCTGAAAATGTGTGTCAAAATAACGAAAACCGTAACGGTTACCTTTAGTACACTTTAGTTTCATTGAATGTACTTTTGGTATATTCAGTAGGTTGGAACCAGATTTAGGCCTTATTCGCCCAAGAACAGTAAACTGTGGTCAGAAACAAGCCATGGCTTATGGTGAATGAGCAGCGTGTTAGTGCATGCTGCAGTCATGCTTCCTTCACTCCCCCAGGGAGCAGGGGACAAAACCATAGTGTGGATGACTTAGCGGTACATGCAAACTAGCTTTCATGGTTTGTTTTTCCATACAAACTACAAAGTGCTAAACCAAAAGCACACAATGGCTTCCATTCATTATAGGTTCAGAAAGAAACAGAATACAAGTGTTGGTTCATACGTAATGCTAACTCAGCCCCTCCATGCTTTGCTTATTGCCTCTGGAAAGGGAGAAGAGAAGTGTGCAAGACTGAGTAGCATGCGCCAACCAGCATGGTGCTTCTCCTTCGTAGCAGTTGTTGTTGCTGCTGTTAATCTTATTTGTACCCCACCCATGGGATACAAGGCTGCCTTCAGATAACTTCTAAAGGTTATATAGTTACTTATCTCCTTTACGTTTGATGGGAGGACGTTCCACAGAGCGGGCGCCACTACTGAGAAGGCGCTCTGCCTGGTTCCCATAGTTTGTTTCAGTGTATGGCTTACCACTGCATGCAAACCAGACCATAGTTATGCTTGCCATAGACCAGCTGAAATAAATGGGACACCACTAATGTATGTCATCTTGATATCAGTTGGTCTCCACAGTGCAATCCCAACTATGTCTACACAGGGAAGTCCTGTTATATTCATGGAGGCTTACTCTCAGGAAAGTGTGGTTAGGA